TGGAGGAGCCAAGCCGTGCTGCCTGTGTCTACAGATGTGGCTTCCTATGGTGGCACAGTGGGAAGTGGAGGAGCCAGGAGCGCCGGCAGAGGACCCAAGAAGAGGGGGGCCACTCTGTGCAATTCCATTGGAAAGAGTGTGTAAGTATATAATGTTTGCTATTTTAAAAACAATATTGACCTTAAAATCAATCTTACAATCCATAAATAAAATGTAAAACTGTCGACCCAGAACCATTCTATTTTCACTTTAAATGTGTTGTGTGTTGTGTAAGTATAGTTTTATATGAAGCTTTAATGTAGCTACGTGTTTTTCATTTAACCTGGGTCACACTGTTCACATGGTTAAGTTCTGATATGACACATCTATACCTCGTGATTTTATCGGAAAACTCAGAGAAGTATAGAGCAGAAAAACATCAATAGTCATAAAGCCATTACTATTCCTTTAATGAATCTCCAGTAAAAACATGGAAATTAAACAACACACGCTGAGATTATTCATAACTTATTCTAGGTTTGCATTGATTCTTCCTAAGCTGTTTTGAAGTTTTTCATCCAATTGACCATTTTTCTCCATTATTAACTAAGAGATAAACGCAGTCCATAGAACACTTGCCTTTGGCACTGTCTGAATGATGGATAATTTTATAAAACCTGACAACCTTTTAATGTCTAACAGAAGCTTCATATATTTAAAATAACAATTCGCCAACTTTAAAGTGAGGTCAATTAAGGTCACAGAAGGTGAAGGTTACATTGAGAATTAAAAGCAGCCGTGGGCTTTAAGTCATACTAATTCACATTTGTCCGCTCAACTAAAGTTTCCTAAGCAATTGATGAACCAATAATAACCATGTACTGGTGTCTCTGCTGAGTCAGTATAGTGAAAAAAGAATAGAAGATGCATTAAAGCACAAGCTCACAAGTACATTTAAACACTGACCAACACCAACCCCCCTGTCCCTCTCGTGGAGAAAGCCTGACATTGATCAACAACACCCCTGCCCCCTACCTGGAAGAGCCTTCCACTACCCCCCCAGCATCCCCGGGAATGAGAGTCAGGCTCTACTACATACACCATTAAGCAGCCCGCAGCCTCTCTTGGATCCCACTTGGTTCCCATGGAGCACGTCTCCCTTCTTTCATCCCTTCTTCTGGGGGGAGGTGCTGCCCCCCTGAAAAATGCCGCCCTAGGCAAGTGCCTTGTTTGCCTTGTGGTAAATACGCCCCTGAGTGTATCTATTTGTTACATTAAAGCAAACATAACCCTAAGTGCATAAATGTATACAGGACCACTTGCCTATCCTTAGATGTAGTGGTTGTATGAGTTTCTTATAAATATATTTATTTTGTCAGTAACAAACTTCCTATGCTAGAAACGTTCCTACACCTATATTGCTCACTCACCATACTGTATCTATAGAATTGCAGAGTTGTCATCTTAGGAAAGGAAGTGTAATAGGTATGCAGAACACCTCCCCTTCCCTGATTATCTCTATAACATAGTTGAGAGGTGTTAGTTAGCCTACAAGAAGAGTAGAAGAGCTAGAACAATGTAACTGATGATAGTGCAGAAAAGGCGAAGTTATCAGCTCACAAGCTTTTTGGAAGGATCAGCAATATATTTTTTGCATTTATCAAATGGCAATAATAGATACTTACAATGGTATATTTAACAGAACAAAATAGAGCAAATATGAGTTCACTGATAGGGTTGACTAACCTTTGGTCAGTGTGTACAGCTCCCTCATGACTGGCTTCTGTCGAACATGCCTGCAGGTAAACCAGCATCTGATCAGAATCCGGTTAGCGGTCCGGTCAGCCAATGGATACGAATGCTGACCAGTATGTTCTAGTGGGCCTGTGGTCTCTCTGTCAGGACACAATAGCACAGATGGAGATTACTGTACTAACATTGCTTGCATTATTACAGTGATCTTTCAGGGTTTTTTTGTTCAACCTACTGGATTGAACAAAAAAAACTGATAGTGTGTACCAGGCATAACAGTGGGAGGGGCTTAAAGGGGCAAGGTTAACCACTCATATGTCATCCTCCTGGAAACGCACCTTGTATCCAGCCATGCGGCTGTACAGCTGTGCTGCGAGCGCAATCTGTCAACTGCTGTGTCCTCCGGACACAGCTCATGACAGATTACTGTACCAACTTACTGATCACATGACAATTGCAAACAATAAATGGCTTTCTAAGAAAAATGCACTATACAGGTGAAACTCGAAAAATTAGAATATCGTGCAAAAGTTCATTTATTTCAGTAATGCAACTTACAAGGTGAAACTAATATATGAGAGACTCATTACATGCAAAGCAAGATAGTGCAAGCCGTGATTTGTCATAATTGTGATGATTATGGCTTACAGCTCATGAAAACCCCAAATCCACAATCTCAGAAAATTAGAATATTACATGCAATCAATAAAACAAGGACTGTACATAGAACAATATCGGACCTCTGAAAAGTATAAGCATGCATATGTACTCAGTACTTGGTTTAGGCCGCTTTTGCAGCAATTACTGCCTCAATGCGGCGTGGCATGGAAGCTATCAGCCTGTGGCACTGCTGAGGTGTTATGGAAGTCCAGGATGCTTCAATAGCAGTCTTCAGCTCTTCTGCATTGTTAGGTCTCATGTCTCTCGTCTTTCTCTTGGCAATGCCCAATAGATTCTCTATGGGGTTCAGGTCAGGCGAGTTTGCTGGCCAATCAAGCACAGTAATCCCACGGTCATTGAACCAGGTTGTGGTGCTTTTGGCAGTGTGAGCAGGTGCCAAGTCCTGCTGGAAAATGAAGTCAGCATCCCCATAAAGCTCGTCTGCAGAAGGAAGCATGAAGTGCTCCAATATCTCCTGGTAGACGGCTGCGTTGACCCTGGACTTAATGAAGCACAGTGGATCAACACCAACAGATGACATGGCTCCCCAAATCAACACAGACTGTGGAAACTTCACACTGGACTTCAAGCATCTTGCAGTGTGTGCCTCTCCATTCTTCCTCCATACTTTGGTTCTTTGGTTTCCAAATGAGATGCAAAAGTTGCTCTCATCAGAAAAGAGGATTTTGGACCACTGAGCAACAGACCAGGTCTGTTTTTCTTTAGCCCAGGTAAGATGCTTCTGACATTGTTTGTTGTTCAGGAGCGGCTTGACAAGAGGAATACGACATTTGAAGCCCATGTCCAGGATCTGTCTGTGTGTGGTGGCTCTTGATGCACTGACTCCAGCCTCAGTCCACTCCTTGTGAAAGTCCCCAACACTTTTGAATGGCCTTTTCCTGACAATCCTCTCCAGGCTGTGGTCATCCCTGCTGCTTGCGCACCTTTTTTTCCACACTTTTCCCTTCCACATAGCTTTCTATTAATGTTCTTTGATACAGCACTTTGGGAACATCCAGCTTCTTTTGCAATTACCTTTAGAGACTTTCCCCCCTTATGGAGGGTGTCAATGATGGTTTTCTGCACAACTGTCAGGTCAGCAGTCTTTCCCATGATTGTGATTCCTACTGAACCAGACTGAGAGACCATTTAAAGGCTCATGAACGCTTTGCAGGTGTTATGGCTTAATTAGCTGATTAGAGTGGGACACGTTGAGCCTAGAATATTGCACCTTTTCACAATATTCTAATTTTCTGAGATTGTGGATTTGGGGTTTTCATGAACTGTAAGCCATAATCATCACAATTATGACAAACCACGGCTTGAACTATCTTGCTTTGCATGTAATGAGTCTATCTCATATGTTAGTTTCACCTTTTAAGTTGCATTACTGAAATAAATGAACTTTTGCACAATATTCAAATTTTTTGAGTTTCACCTGTATATCTACCGGTAGGTCTCTTGGGACAGTTTAGCAAATAAATGGGGTGTTAAGCTTTCTCACTCATGACTGATATATATCTCTCTCAAATGTTGTCTCTATCTGAACAAGACAGGTGGGTGAGTTACTATTCTGACTTGTTTAGTAAAAGTTTGTGTTCTGAGCTTCACCTACTGAACTCTGTAAACATTTCTTTAACGGATGTACCATGCAGGTTTTTCTATCAAACCAGATAGGGCTGAACTTGACGAGATGTGAAACCATTCTCTAGTTTTACTTGTCAGCTGGGTAGGTAAATATGAACTGTTACTTGGCTAAATTTCTCTTTTACCCAAAAAAAAAGATACATAAAAATACAATTCATTCTCTTTCAGTTTAAAGTTTATTTCAAACAAACATGATATTATTGAATTAATTTATTGGTATATCTGTTCAAGAAATGTACTTTGTAGGAGCATCATTCTATATACTCTTTAAATTCAGTGTAGTTCTCAATAATTATTTTTTTTATTTACAGCACTTTAGATACTACATGGTTACAACAATTCTTATTGCACATGGTCAATATTTGAAACCAGCAGGAATTCAAAGCTATACTTGCTTTATAAACCATGTTGTAATAATGTATAAACTGTGTATGTGACCTGTCACAATACAATAGATTAGACATAAATTAATAGTATATGTTAATAAAAAAAAGCATCTAATTCAGTTTTCCAAGAAATACATTGTATTCCAGAACTAAATGTATGACCAGAAGGTTACCTATAAAAAGATTATATTCCTATACATTGAATTCTGTAACCATTAGCTGAGAAATTCTGTGCATGATGCATTTATTGATTCTTCCTAATGACATGGATCTCAGGTGCATTACAATGGGAAAATTATTCATAGATTTAATTTATTCAGTGTGAAATAAAGTTGTTTTGAGGCAAGTCATCGCATTTTCGCTGTAATAAACCATTTTATTAGATATATAGTAGGTAGGGTATCTTTATTAAAAATAAAACAAACACAGCTCAGGTCAGTGTTACTAAACCCACAAGAGTAAAATCAGTCTGTCTATGCAGTAAGGCATGCTTGTTATACTCACGTGGAACCTAAGGGGTTAAACCTCTGCATTGTTTATAAAGGCTGTTTGATCCTAACTTCTCTGATCCTCCTCTTCTTCCAGTTATCTCCTGATAAGACATAGTGGGGTTTATTTACTAAAGTTGGAGAGTCCAAAATCAGACTCCCTTCTGCATAGAAACCAATCAGCTTCCAGGTTTCATTGCCAAAGCTTCATTGAACAAGCTGAGGTTAGAAGCTGATTGGTTTCTATGCAGAAGGGAGTCTGATTTTGGACTCTCCAGCTTTAGTAAATAAACCCCAGTGTGTTTAGTCACTCTGCACATGCTCAGTTTGGTCTGTATTGCTTGAGAGATTTTTTTTCTTGGGAGAGTGCACGTGATCAGCACAGGGACACTCAATACTGTCCAGACAGAGGTCAGGGGTTCTGCATCCTCCTGGAGCAGAATGAAATCTCCTCCTACAAGCTTTAACATGTTCTCTGCTGGACACTGATAGAAGTCACAAAACTGCTCTAACTGCTGATGAGAAAAGGTGTTTAGCAGTTTATATTTACTAAAATAAGTGCATTTCCATGTTCTGTGTACTGTGGGAGACCAGATATAGTGAATGCAGGGTCCTGGGCTTAGTAACATTTTAAAATAAGGAATCTTGCAAAAGGATACAGCAAAATAAGACAGGCCTTACATTATCAATTTCTTTCACTGAAGCAGTGGGGTTAAAAAAAAAATTACCTGATTCCCCCATCCACACACTTGATGTGGAAGGGGGAATCATTCCCACTGTGCCTTTGTATTCTGACAGCGGGAAGACTATAGCCAGCAGCACTGGTCAATCAGGAAAAACTAGACAGGGTGGTTGTACAGAAGTTGATTGGCATAACGACTTCTTTACAACAAAAGTGCTCATACATGGATCGATATTTAGCAGGTCTCTACTGAAATGGTCGAATTTCGATCTATGTATGGCCAGCTTAACAGTCAAAGTGGAATTCCAGCTCAAAGCTTTGACAGGGTAGGGAAGAATTAAAACCATTGATTTTTAGTTCTAACACTAGGTTTTGATTTCTAACACTAACAGGAACACTAAGAGGCAACACGAGTGTCTGGAAAAACAACTTTTCTAGATTCCCAGTCCTGTCTTTCCCTTGCACTGAAAACTAGTTTAGTGTAATAGTAAACATCAACCCAAAGTAAATGGCCATCATGTTGAATGCTGACAAGCTAGATTAAAGTACAACTAGAGCCATTTCTTTTCTGTTTGTTTTTGGATAGAGTGGAGAAGAGTTAGAACATTTTTTAGTCAGTAGAACAGAAAATGAGGGAAATCTCTGTGACAGGAAGTGAATGAGCGCATATTAAAAATAATTTTAAACAATCCAGACCACCTCACCCAGATAAAGAAACCTAATTAAAACATTATTTTAATAATTTACCAAAAATAGAAATGTGCTGTTCTCCAGCATCAAGCTGATTCCGTACTGTGAAATTTCTTATGTACTCTGTAGGAGCACCCACATTGGTAACAGTAGCTAAGCTCCTTTTCATTACTATATTCTGTATATCCCTAATTAGTGATGAGCTAAATTGTCCTGGGTTTGGTTCAAGCAGGGTTTGGCAAACTTAAAATCAATGAAGTCCAAATCTGTCAAAAATGTTTAAACAAATCATATAGGTCAGGAGCAGTTATTTGGTATTTTTTACCTTAAAGCGGAACTTTAAAGATGCCCACTTCCTTTAACCGCTTCCCGACCGCCCTATAGCAGATATACTGCTACAGGACAGCACGGGTGCACAAAATCACGTATATATAAGTGATTTCGCATTTCTGGGTAGGGGGCCATTTTCAGACACGGCTGTCAATCACCGGGTAGCGGCTAGTTACTACTCGCCCAGTGATTGCCAAGCATCTCCGACAGGGAGGAGAACTGTATGTAAACAATAAAGTTCTCCTCCCTTTCAGCTCATGCACACTGCTTTGGATGGCTGTGCATAGCACAGCCATGCAAAGCAATGTGATTCCACTGAAGCACACGGACACAGCCGCAAGTAAAACAGCACACAGTTAACCCTTTGACTGCCCCTCATGTTAACCCCTTCCTGCCCAGTGCCCTTAGTACAGTGTCACTACTTTTTTTTAGCACTGATCACTGTATTGGTGTCCCTGGGGATATCAGTGGCACCAAGTCAGTTCCCCCCAGTGTCAGAATGTCCACCACAGTCCCACTATAAGTCTCTGATTGCCTCCATTACTAGTAAAAATAACAAAAAAAAATCCAGTATCTATACCGTCATTGGTAAACGCTATTAGTTTCACGTAACTCAATTAACCACTTCCCAACCACCCTATAGCAGAAATTCTGCGCAAAATCACGTATATATATGTGATTTTGCATTTCCAGGTAGGGGTGCAGGTGAGCCACTCGCTCGCTGCCATTTGCGGCCGCGGCTGTCGTCAATCAACGGGTCCTGGCTTGTGATTACTCACCGGCGCCCGGTGATTTCTGAGGATGTCCGACGGGGAGGAGAACTGTTTTGCTTACTAACAGTTCTCCTCCCTGTCAACTCGGGCACACTGCTTTGGATGGCTGTGCACACACAGCCATCCAAAGCAGCATTATTACAGTGAAGCACACTGACAATGCCCCATAGTAAAACACTCCCAGCACACAGTTAATCCTTTGATCGCCCCTCATGTTAACCCCTTCCTGCCCAGAGCCATTAGTAGAGTGTCAGTGCTTTTTTTTTTAGCAGTCATCACTGTATTGGTGTCACTGGGGATGTCAGTGACACCAAGTCAGTTCTCTCCAGTGTCAGAATGTCTGCCGCAGTCTTGCTATAAGTCGCTGATCGCCGCCATTACTAATACATTTTTTTACTGGACATGTTTAATAGCAAAAAGCCAAAAATATTGTTTTTTTCTCAAAATTGTTGGTCCTTTTTTTTTAAAGCACAGGAAATATAAAATACACAGGCAATCACATAACACCAAAAGAAAGCTCAATTTGTGGGGAAAAAAGGACAGACATTTTACTTGGCTGCAGTGTTGCATGACCGTGCAATTGTCAGTTAAAGTCACACAGCGCCGTAAAACAAAAAATGGCCTGGTCAGGAAGGGGGGTAAATCCTCAGGAGGGCAAGTGGTTAATTTACACGTATTGGGATTTTTTTTAGCAAAGACATTGCTAAAAATTATGATGAAATTTGATTTTTCAAATTTTTTTACTGGACATTTTTGATAGCAAATGTCAAAAATATTGTTTTTTTTTTTCTCAAAATTGTTAATCTTTTTTTTATAGCGCAAAAAATAAAAAAGTGCACAGGCGATCAAAAACCACCAAAAGAAAGCTCAATTTGTGGAAAAAGGAAACAAATTTCACTTGGGTGCAGCGTTACATAACCGTGCAATTGTCAGTTAAAGTAACGCAGCACTGTAAATGGTCAGGAAGGGAGGTAAATCCTCAGGAGGGCAAGTGGTTAAATAACATACCTGGGGTGACCTAATCCTGTTAATTTGTATAATTTTTTTTTCTTTGTATATGTAACTCTTGCTATAGTACATGTGACAGCAAGAATTAACAGAGCCCCCTCCCCCTAAAATGCATACCAGACACTTTGGGGATGATTTACTAAAGACAAATAGGCTGTGCACTGCATGTGCACTGAAAGTGCAGTTGCTCTAGATCTGAGGGGAACATGCAAGGAAAATAAAATAACAGCATTTTTTTCTTGGCTGAAAGAAATCAGCAGAGCTCCGCCTCATTTCATAGCTTCCTTTCGGATATAAAGCAACTGCACCTGCAGTGCACAGTATATATACCTTTAGTAAATCAACTCCTTTGAGTCTGGTATGGATCTAAAAAAAAAGTGTGAGGTCCATAATACCAGACTCTTAAGCCCTGTTATGAATTTTAAGGGAGTCCTAGTGCAAAATGCATGGGAACCCTCCTATAAATCAATACAAGACCCTTAATTAGAGTTTTGTAAAGAAGATAACTTTTTATAGTAGATACTTCATTACAATTAAATACTTATTTGCCATGATCATCAACTCCATCTTCCATACTTCAGTCTTCAACGCCATCTTCCTGATTCACTATATTTTTCTAACTTAAACAAATTGGGCTGTTTTTCTCCATCATTCACACAAAAAGACTGCAGCTTCACAGGATACATAGCTGTGCCATTTTTTTTTATAAATGCACCCCTTACTTTACATTTCAGAGGCTTCCCTTATATAGGGGTTGTTTGGCTAAAACTGGAGAGTCTCTTGATCTAGTGCAGATCTGCAAAAAACCAATCAGCATCCAGGTTTTATTGCCAAAGCTTAATTGAACAAGCTGAAGTTAGAAGATGATTGGCTACCATGCACCATATTTTGCACTATCCAGTTTTAGTTAATCAACCCCCTAGTTTCTTCTTCTGATTGAATGTTCTTTCTATTTTCTCTATCATTTGAATGTTCTTTACCTTTTCTGATCAAATGTTCTTGAAGCTAATTTCTCTTAAGATTGAATTTAGAGAATGATACATTTGTCCTGTGAAAGGCAACAAGTAGAAACCCAATGTTGCTAAAGTGGGGCTTATTCCCTAGTTTCAATAGCAGTAGTTTCAATAGGAAGTAGTGAGGAGACATTGCTGGAAGTGGCAGCAGAGGAGACCTTAATGTGAGCTGGCTGTATTTTACTAAATCATCCCTGGAGGGGACTCTGCTGCTTCTTCCATTAACCTGTGAAGGGGATATCACCGCTGTGGATTGATATCAACCTCGAAGGGGGGACCAAACCGTGGAAGGTCACTTTTCTCTTTTTAACAGGCGTTTTGGCCCTTTTGGGTCGCTTCAAGGAGGTGAGAGGGCAATTCAGCCGTTTATGGATTATTTCCTATTACTTATCATGCATATTCACTTTACCACCTGCACTTTCTGAAGTCCTTGGAATATTTGGTGTTTACGCATCTTTGAACTTTTTTCTTTGGACTTATTTCATGCAACATTTTAAAAAAGTTTTTTTGTTAATCATTTCTTGTGATATCATTTTTATAATGTATATTTATTTTTTAGCATAATTTTGTCGTTCAGTTACTGCACTTGCCACTACTGTGTGATATTCAGTCCCATATTTAGGGATTCACTGAGTTTTTTTCACTTATTTTTCACTTTTAGTTGGCGAATTTCTAGCCTCTGTGGTCACTATTATTATCAGAGTGATAATTGGTCCCACATTTAGGGATTCACCATTTTTTTATTTTTATTATATTTATCAATATCTTTCACAATATTGCAGTCCCATTAGGACTTTTTTTTTATCTCTTTCACTGGCGTTTCTTTTGATTTTCAATATTTATTCACTTTCCGCCTCACTATGGATCCCTTAGTGGATCAGTTCACTTCATGATTGGTGAGTGAGTGGCATATTTATCCACTGAATACACTGAGGATTATGATTAGTCACACATAAGATATGTTTGGTATGAGTTATATTGGGTTTTAATACTGTTTTGTGCTATTCTATTTATTACATCTGGTATTTTGGAATAAGCTAGTGTATAAGTACAACAATATTTAGGGTAACGCTACACCATAATATTCAATAACATGGCAAGAGCTGAATTTGAGGGATGTG